TTCCCATTTCTATGAGAGCAAGGATTAATAACCACAAGATCCATTTTCTAATTCAAAAAATCATCTAAAATTCAGTGTGAGTAAAATTGTAATTTTTTGTCAACTATTGACTTTTACACTTAGTAATAAAAATATATTTTCAACCAGAACTAAATAATCCATGACTTGTACACCATGCTACTTTTCCACAGTTTGTAACACAACAAGGATTAATAACATCAACAATCATTATTTAACTTCAAATCCATTGAAATTAGTCATGTATAGTAGGTTTATAATTTTAATAATAAAAGTCAGATTTTAATGCTAGTGTTTAAAGAATGTACATTGATTTTCAGATCACATGCATAATAAATATATGCGATTTGAGATATACGACTTCAAATGAAGATATAATATAAGCACGTTGCCGATTTTCGCCATTTCTACGAGAGCAAGGATTAATAACCACAAGATTCATATTCTCAATTCAAAGGATCGTCTGGAATGGAGTGTGTTTAGAAATTTTCGTTTCCTCTAGAATTCGTAATTTTCTTCCGGGACAGGCTAATATATTCAAATTCAACATTTGCTAAATTACATTAGAGTGAATGAAATTGTGTGTATGCTTAAATTGTAAGAAATTCAATATCAGAGGGAACATGCAATCTGCCTTAAAGTAGGAAAACCACTTATTCGTAAATAAAATGAAGGTATTTGAATTTACAAGATTTTCTGCAACATCTATTGTAAATAAATTTAATTCATGAACATATTTCTGATTAATCCATAAAAAATGTGGGACCTAGTTTTTTGCAATTATTACTATTTCATCCTCTAACTTTAAGAGCAAAAATAAACAAACGTATCTTAATTTTCTTTGTGTTGTATGTACAGTATCTTACGGCTTACAAACTTAATTCAATTAATAAGTAGCGAAAAGATTTCAGAAGGATTTTTTAAAATGTAAAATAAATTTTATGATTTTATATGATATTAAAAATATAATGCGTACTTTATTATTAGCTTTACGGCTCAATTTAGTAATATAAATATTTTTATGATTTATAAAACAAATACTTATTGTATACATATTTTTATTCGTGAAATAATTTCAATCTGCATTTAAAAACATTTGAATTTTTCAAGGAACAGTTTTTTTCCTTATTTATTTAATTTTCAATAAATAAAATACACTTATTAGTAAAGTAAAGAATTGTTTTTTTTAATATAATTAAGCAATAATTGCTATTTAATTATTTTTAATATTATTATGTAAACAATTGTAACATTATAATTTTCGTTTCAAAATATTTTTGAGACAAAGAGAATGAATCTTATTTATATATATTGATTTGTTTTAATAAAGCAGTGTTTAAAGTTACAGAAAAAAATTGTGTATGGAAAAATTTCGAAGATTTGTAAACTTCGATTTAATTTTAATTTTCGATAACTGACGTATGAAATGCCACCTGAATGAAGAAAAGTATCTTGAAATATGTTTTTTTATTAAATACACAATTTCTGTGGCCAAACTAAGGATACAGTTCAGAAGACCTTCCAGTCAAATTTCAGTCTTTTTGCTTAATATACGAGGCAGACATTTCATACATAAAGGAGTACAAAGTTTTATACATAATGGAGTACATTTTATACATTCTAGATCTTTACCAGAATCAATTTAAAATCTGAATAGTACTTGTTTTGTTTTAAATCCATTGTGACGAAAATGAAAACAATTCTAACATCCAACAACTACAGAATATTGGTGGGATCATTATTCTAATGAAACTGATAGATTCGTGCTCTAAATAAGAACTGGCTACGTGCTTGCATAGATGCTGATAAATGAACAAAATATTAAAGCCCATTTCTGTAACAGAAACATTTATTCATCTTGCTATATCGACTGTCATATAAAAATATTAGTATATTAAAATTTTAATATTTACCAATAAATGAGAAATTAAAACAAAAGGAAATATCAAAAAATAAATTACATTTATGAGTATATTAAGAATAACATAAAAAAACACATATTACAAAGTTAATTTTTTGCATTTAACTTTGTAAAAACACTGTGCAGAACTTTTATTTCAATTTGGAAATTTTCTAAAAAAAATCTAAGTCTATTTCAGTAAACTTTAAAAAACATTGTATTGACATATATGCATATAAATTTGTGTTCAAGCTGCAGTAGTTTGCCATTTCTTACGAAACTTTGAAATTATTTTACCCGGTGATTATTTGTACTTGGAAACTTCCTATTTCCAATTAATGAATTTTGTGCTTCATTTTATTTCAGAAACATTAAATTCAGCAACTTGAAGACAGACATGACATAAATTCCAGACAGTAATAACACACGAATAAAAATCAATTTCTAATTAATTATCATTATATTTTTACATAGTTTTTCCCATAATGCCACATGAATAATTTCAGACATATATAAACCATTTTCAAAGTAGTTTTACAATAATAGTTTAGAACAGAATTCCTTTTCATCACAATATTCTTTGACATTCTGAACAACACATAAGCATTCTCAGAATGATAGACTGTAAGTAATTTTTAGGAGTTGGAGGAATAAATTGAAAACCATTTGCAATCAGTCATACAGAAGCATCGAATATTTCTGGTTCTTTACAAATAATTTTACAGAAGAACAATTGCTGTTTCTCTAGAATATTAAGAATTGCTTCTGCTGTGTTTCGTATCGACTAACCTCTTTCATATCCGCTGTTTTCTGCCCCCCTTCTGAAGAACTACCTCCCCCCATGGAATCGAGGAGTTTAATCAGCCTCCAAAAGTTAATTAAAACTGGGTAGTCCAAAATGAAAACTAATGAAATAACTAAGAAACGTTCCAGAATTTTCATCATTGCAGAGCTATAAAGCATGCATCCTGCCTGTTTTCAAAGAAGCTATGAGGAAAGCCATAAAAAAATGATTGAACACACATTAACATGAAATTCGAAATTTTCCACTAAGCGCAAAGTCTTAAGTAGATTTTAACTTAGGAAAAGAAAATTATGGGAAATTATAATGAAATATCTGAAGCTTAGAAGCAATGTGAAGCAGGAGATTCTAAAAATAAAATAATGAATGAAAGGTATAAAAAATAAATGCTTATAAAATGATGCATTTTCTCTCTTTTTTATGAACAAGCTTTTTATTAGCTGGATACATGTATATGTGTGTATATATATATATATATTATTTATGACAAAAATGAGGAATTCTTAGTGGAAATAAAAATAGAGGTAAAATGAAATTTTTGATAATAATTAACATGTTTTTGTGCAAATGTATATTTCTAACAACGTCTTTTTTATTTTGGGTAGAATCTTTGCTATCAGTGATCTGCTTATATAAAAAACTTGAATTTTTCTGGATGGCTAAAAGTTTTTTTCCCTTTGCATGGAAACATGCAGTGTGCGTAGTTAAAATAAAATGCATGGAAAACGACAATTGCTGAGTTTTATCCACAAATAAAATAGAAATTTTTTATAGGCGGTTGGATTGTAGTATGCTTTTTACTTTTTACTTATTTTTATTTAATTTCTTTAGACTTTTTCTTAACTTCTAACATCTGCATTGCATATGATTGCAATTTCCCATTTTTGGAATCTAAAATCAGTAGTCTTTAAAATAATTTCGTAATATCATAGAAAAAAACTATAATTTTACATTCACTTATAAAATTTTATTGTTGACAGCACATTTTAAATTGCATGTTTTAAGCAAATAATTAATTTTACCAATAGTCTATTTTGTACAATAACATACATTTCTCTCTCCTGGAAATAAAAAGCAAAAGCCCTTCTCTTAAAAAAATGCTACAATATATATTATACATAGCGATCTGTTTCGAAAATTCTAAATCTCAAAATTATAACTTTCTTGCATGATTTAAATCATTTTATTCTCTAAACTTTAACTATGTATTCCTTTGAAAAATTATTTTAATCCCTTCTGAGCCCAGGCACGATTTTCTTTCTTATTGAAATATTATAGTTATTTAAACCCCCAACCAATTATCTTTATTATCTTGAAACGTTAACCGTGATGCGCTAACAATAGCTTTCTCACGCATGTAGATTTAACATGAAACATCGGTTTATTCTTTCTGCAAGGGCTGACTGCAATCTTTTGAGCGCTGATTGATTCAATGGCGCGGTTTAATCCGAAGGCTAATTTGAATACGGCACTGGCTCGTTCATTACTATGTTAAATTCTTTCTGGTTTCCTGAAGGCCTAGGGGTGAAGGCGACTGCGTTGACTGCCAAAATCTGTATCCGAAAGCACTTCCTCTTTAGCGGTACACCACATCTGCTCTGACAGAGCTGACTAATTGGTTAAATTAAACTAAAAAGCACGTTCTAACGTTTGAAAGAATGCTCGTTATGGCTTTTGTTTCTTGCGGCAGTTACTTTTCAGTGACAGTCCGTCATGCTTTGAATTCGGAAATACATTGATGCGAGTGTTTTCTGATAATCGTACAGATATTTTATTTTAAGTGGAAATATTTTAAAGCATGTTACATATAGATATTTGGGCAGTGAAATACATTGTAAATGGTGAAAGTCACACAGTTTACAATGTATTTCACTGCCCAAATTTACTTTTATGCTGCTTTTTATTAGCTGGATACATGTATGTGTGTGCATATATCTATATATATATATATATATTATTTATGAAAAAAACTGGAATTCTTAGTGGAAATAAAAAGAGAGATAAAACGAAAATTTTGATAATAATTAACATGTTTTTGTGCGAATTTTTATTTCTTAAAACATTGTATTTTTTTTTATTTTGCACTAAATCTTTGCTTTTAGTGCTCGGCTAATATAAGAATATTCGTTTCGCTAGATGGCTAAAAGTTTTTTTTTTTCCCTTGTATGGAAATATGCAATGGGAGTAACTGAAAAAAATGCACGGAAAACGACAATTGCTGAGTTTTATCCATAAATAAAATAGTAATTTTTATAGGCAGTTGAATTGTAGTATGCTTTATACCTTTCGTTCTCGTTAGATCACCGAAGTCAAGTATCATAGGGCGCGGTCAGTACATGGGTGGGTGACCACCTGGGAACACCGCGTGCCGTTGGCAAATTTGGGACCTGAATGGCCGAGTGTCTAGCGCTCTGGCGCTCGGTGCCACAGGTTTCGGGTTCGAATCCCGGCGGTGCCATGGATGTTTGTAGTGGTTCGGAATCCACTTTAAGCTGTAGGTCCCAGTCTCCTATGACTGTAAGAGCGTCACGGAGCAAAAGTCAGGCTTCTACCTACGGGTGCTCCATCACAACAGAAGCTGCTTCCGTCCCCTTCAATCATGAGTACGTATGGGCTCGTGGGCTTGGACAACCAAGTGGGATAAGAAACAACAACAACAACAAACCTTTCACTTATTTTTAATTAATTTCTTTTAACTTTCTCGTAACTTCTAACATCTGCATTGCGTGTGATTATTGCAATTTGTCATTTTTGCACTCTAAAATAAGTAGACTTTAAAATAATTTCTTAATATCATTGAAAAAAACTGTAATTTTACATTCACTTATAAACTTTTATAGTTGACAGCACATTTTAAATTGCATGTTTATCGTATATTTTTAAGCAAATAATTAATTTTAAATATTTTATTTTGTACAATAACATACAGTCGTCTTTTCTGGAAATAAAATTCAAACACACTTCTGTTAAAAAAAAATGATACAATATATACATCTGTTTAGCAATATATGCATCTCTTTATATGATCTGTTTCTGAAATTCTAAATCTCAAGCAATCACCAAAATTACAACTTTCTTGCATTATTTAAATCACTTAATTCTTTAAACTTGTAACCATATATTAATTTGAAAATTATTTTAATCCCTTCTAAGCCTAGGCACGATTTTCTTTTCTATTGAAAGATTATAGTTATTTAAACCCCAACCAATTATCTTTATTATCTTGAAACGCTAACCGCCATGCACTAACAATAGCTTTCTCACGCATGTAGATTTAAAATGAAACATCAGTTTATTCTTTTTACAAGATTTAACACTGGAATCTTTTGAGCGTTGATTGATTCAATGGCGCGGTTTAATCCGAAGGCTAATTTGAATACGGCACTGGCCTGTTCATTACTATGTTAAATTCTTTCTGAAGGCCTATGGGGGGAAGGTGGCTGCGTTGAAGGGGCCGAGTGCCAAAATCTGTACCCGAAGGCACTTCCTCATTAGCGGTGCACCACATCTGCTGTGACAGAGCTGACTAATTGGTTAAATTAAACCAAAAAGCACGTTCTAACGGTCGAAAGAATGCTCGTTATGGCTTTTGTTTCTTACGGCAGTTACTTTTCCGTGGCCGTTCGTGATACTTTGAAGTCGAAAATGCACTGATGGGAATGTTTTCTGAACACCGTACATTTTGTTTTTTTTAATTGGAAATATTTTAAAGCATGTTATATATGGATATTTGAGCAATGAAATACGTTGTAAATGGCGAAAATCACAAAGTTTTTCAGAGGTTCTTAGAATTGCATGTGACTTTGTATCATTCAGATAATAATTTATTTAAAAATACAAATTTTAGGGAATAAAATAATATTATGATTAATAAATAAAATGAGTAATTCCATAAAATTATGACCTATTTTTTAATTAAGAAACTAAGTGGTATATATTGTTTTAACTAAGATACTACAATATTCTGCATTCAAAAGATCAGCAATAAGAAAACTTTCTTGAAATATTGAAATATTTGTTGCCTGGCTTAAAGTTAAACTTTAAAGGATAAGATACTGGTTTTGCATATCATTTATTATTTAAATACATGAGTGGGAGTGTATTTTCTTGACAATCGTTTATATGCAAATATGCATAGTTCTTTAAAATGTTCATCGAATAACGTATTTTATTACCACCTATAAAAGAATATACTATAAAATGTAAATTATTAAAATGTCATTAACTTTTAAACAAACATTAACATTTTTTTCGATGTAGAAATTTTGAAAATTAATTTTGAGATACCCTTTAATTTTTAGTAGCATTAATGGAAAGTAATATGTAGTACGTAATATGTAGTAGCAGTGAAGGTTATATTATTTGAAAATTAAAAATACAAATATTTTTTAAATTGTGTTTATTTTTTTAATATCTTGTTTTAATAATAAAAATTATGGATTAACAAACGTAACGTACATTTTTACGTTCAGTAATAAAAAAATAACAATTCTTGAATATTTTATTTCTTTTAATATACCTTTCATATTTTCACCATTTCATATAAAATATAAAACAATAACATGTCACTATATCATAAGGAAACCATTAATTCTAAAAAAAATACTGGAAGAATGAACTTACGATTTGTTGTCTTACGATTAGACACATCATTATAATACATAATTCTTTATTTCACTAGACAAAAGAAAGACCTATTTCTTAAATTATAAATAAAATATAACAAAAAAAAGCATATTAATAAATATAAAAATCATTTAATTACAATGTTAATTTTAATCAAGCAGTTTGGGAAAAACATGATAAAAAATGTTTAATAATTATATATTATTAAATGTTTTAGTTAAAAATAGCACTTAACATTATAATGTTCGATTATGATCAATTATCTGTTATAATATAAGACAATTTTTAAATTGTAAAATACTTGAAATTAATTATTGAAATTTTATTGTTTAATTGTAAGTAAGTTAAATTTTATTCAAGGATTTCTATAGATGAATCAAAACATGAACTGAATTTTTATTCTTGATTATATATTCTTCAATTTATACGTATTCTTCAAACAAGAAGAAAAGAACGATTTTTCTAATTATTTGAAAAATTGCCTAAATAGTAATAAAAAAAATAACTTTTTATTATTCATGGCATGAAAAGAAAAGAATGTTGCTTAATTATTAATTAATAAAGTTACTTTTGTATTTAAAATTATTATCAATCAAATTTTCATACGAAAATTGATAAATAATAATAAATGCTTCATTATTTTTTTTTCTTTCTAAAATTTTATTTGATTAAAATAAAGTTATTTATAATAATTATATTCGCTAAACTTTTCATAAATTTTTATCTTAATATACAAATTTCATTTAATGAAATTCAACACTTTTTTGTAAACACTAGTTGTTGTTTTCAAACAAAGAAAAAAAATTAAAGCAATTTGAATTTTATTTAAAGAAAATTGGAGCAAAAAAATAATATTAAACGTGTAATGAAGGAATTCATGAATTATTCATAAAAAATTTAGTTATTTTTTTATTTAAATTATATAACAAGAAAATTATTAAAAATTAACATAGTATAAAAACTAAAAAGCCTGGTATGCATAATGTAATGAAATGTGTCAGCTTATAGTGTTATGTAAAAAATATAAAATATGATTTTTTTTTACGTTATATGGAAAAAAGAAACACTAAATTTGATTGTTCACGAGAATTATATGTATTAATTATATACGGATTTTATAAATGTTTCAATATTTAATTTGTATATATTTTAATAATAATTTACTTACATTTTTGCAAAATATACCTTATTTATTTTAATTCGTATAACAACACTATCTTCATTACCCTACCTGTCCCCATGTTTTAAATTTCATTATGGATGGTAATGTTGAAGGAAATACAAAATAGTACAATGTATTATTTAATTTAACATTCTTTTACATGGCTTTAAAAACTATAAATTATTGATAAAAAAACTGTTTAGTGCATTAATACAGATTCAAATGTATATATCAGCCTTATATATGCTTAATTTATTTTAGGTGCAAAATTATCTAAGTTAGGTAACTGATCACTTACTTTTTTTATATTTATTTTCTGGCTACAAAAATAGTTCTTTATTTGCTAATTCTTTATTAAATGGTGCAATGCGATATTTAATTCGACATTCTTTTACATGGCTTAAAAAATTGTGAAATATATATAAAAAAATATCTTGTGCATTAACTAAGATTCAAATGTATATATCAGCCTTTTATATGCTTAATTTATTTTATGGGTATTGTTATCTAAGTTAGTAAATTGATAATCTTTCAATTCCTTCTATTAGCTCACGTTCTCCCTATATATATCTTGTTCAAATTTTCAATCGTTAATAAAATAATTTTTATTCATCCACTCAAATACATTTTTTTTTAACTTGTAGTGGATGACACTTGGTGTAAATACAGTTTTTTAAAATATTAATTAATTAATTAATTTTAGGTTTTTTTTTTCAGATTTAAGTTGCATATATCTACCAATAGATGGCGGATAAAATTAAAAAATGAATGAAAATTATTTATAAAGGACTTTCTCCAACATAAAGAAAAAAAAAATTGACTTAATTTTTTTTTTTTTTATATTACTTGTTTTATATTTATTTTCTGTCTAAAAATGGTTATTTATTTGCTAATTCTTTAATAAATAGTACAATGCATTATTTAATTTAACATTCTTTTACATGACTTTAAAAATTGGGAAATATGTAAAAAAAAAATTATTCGGTGTAATCAGACAGATTCAAATGTATATATTAGCTTTTTATATGCTTAATTTATTTTATATGTAAAATTATCTAAGTAAGGAAATTGATCACTTTCTTTTTTCTTTATACATATTTTCTGCCTAAAAAAAAGGTTCTTTATTTGTTTAGCTGAATAATCTGGTATTTTAGGAGTTGGAACTTAACAATTTCATTTAAGCAAGGTTTATCATTAATTCAGCAGTATCGTAAGTGGGCACAATGGATTTGAAACACCACGTTTAAGATAACGACCCGAGGCAGTGAAATTCAGAAAAAAAGAATTTTTGTTCAAAAAAAGAGGGGGGAGGGGGAAGGAATTGAATAAAAATAATTTTATCGCTCTCATTTAAACAGTAATGGGTTATAAAGAGAAGCTTATTTTAAAAAAATCTGCTTTTTTCCCCCTAGATTTATTTTCCATTTTGAATAATTCTGTATAAGTTAATGAGAAGGTTTGGAAAAAATGTCATTTTATTTTTTTAAAACGCCAAGGATTTATTCTTTTCTTTTCCGTTATAATAGATCTTTTCGGTATCAACACATGTTTACGAAATGCTATATGAATAGAATCAGCATTTCTT